AAAAAATTAAGGGGTGATTTCTTGTGATATTTTAAGAAATAAAGTTCATATGAACATGTGTCCTAACTTGCTTCGTTTTCGAGATACAGGGTATTAATATTTCCATGAAAGATCGTTTTTTTATTCATTACTCAATTGTCTTTTCATCAATTTCAAGAAAACGTTGTGGTTTTGTTTATGGAGCTTCTTCGGGTGCAATTAGATTGCAAATAATATTTCCAGTGGCGTCGCAGTGGGTAAATTTATCGATATTATTTGTGGTGAATATCATTGTACGCTACCGGTTTTTCTGAGTTTCATATTTTTATTAGATTGAACTATTCAAATAACAACTTTTTTATCCCCTGTGTGATTGTTGTGTCTAGCTTAGTTTTTGAGGAATCAATAAAAATTTGATTTGATTCCAAATTTAATGTAGGTGTTTTCAAGACTTCCATGGAGATTACTCAACCACAATTACAATTATTTTGAAATTATGGGGCTTTCTCAGTCTCCAACCATACTGAATATTGGCACCATGAAAGCTTATACAGTTCGAAGTGAAAACAATTACTACTTCCAACTTCAACATCCTGTATTTCAAAAACGGAGCAAGTAAAGACACATGTCTACATGAACTTTATTTGCTAGAATATCACAAGGAATCAATGAAAAATAATAGGTATTTATCAAATCTTTAAATAATATTCAATTTTTGAGCGAACACTCAATGGCATGATAGTAGTTTATGTATAGTGGTGAGACCTGACAAAAATCCGGACAATTTTTCAAAACCCACCCGGACGTCCCTGAAACACGGACATGTCCGGGGAAATCCGGACGGATGGCAACCCTACAAATAATAGGGCATTAAAATAATCGTAAGGAGATATTTGTTGGAGCGAACTTTCAATTTAGCTTGGTACCTACTTCAGAATAATTAACTAAAAATGAATGCTGATTTCGATGCTGTTGTTGGGTAATTAATTTAAAGTGGCCTTGAAGCATTGGAGCACTCTCCCATACCGTATAATTATCTCAGCCGACTTACATGCACGTTTTCCATGTAGTTTTCGTGTTTTATTGGCCCATGTATCAGGGATGTCCGAAGATATCATCAAAACGACTGAAATAAGCTCGTATAACAGAAGAGGAAGTCGATTTGTCTGGAGATAAAACGTATTCCATGACGTTCCTCAAAAAAATCGATTATCAAATCGAATCTACATCAATAATGACGCATGCAGAAAAATAATTCGGAAGTCAAGGCATCCAAGGTTGTATAAGGGGTAATTACCCTCCTACTCCCAGAAAGTGGTAAGAATTTTTTTTTATGATCTGGTTCCCACGAAAAGGGATATCCTGTAATGTTCAGAGAACATCGTGCGAACCAAGGAAAATAAAGTAGGAATTGGTGTTCTTCTTGAATTTCCGGAGGTTATATGCCTCGGGGAACACCTCCCTGAACAATGTGTTCCAGAGCCTCGCTGTTCGTTGGATGAACGAGTCTTTAGAAAGAGATGTTCTGCAGGTGTCCAAAGTGACCACGAAGGGGTGCGATGCCTCAATTCGACGAGTTAATCTCGCGGGGACTGCCAATGGAGGAACAATTGTTGATATTTCGAAAGAGCATCGTCCATGAAAATATCTATAAAATAAGGCCAGATCGCCAACTTGTCTACGGTGTTCCAGAGAAGTGAGTGAATTTGTGAGCGAGGCATCACCCACGGGACGAATTGCCCTTTTTTGGACATAATGCAACGCAGTTTCAGGGTATGTTTGGGTGCTGCACTCCAAATATGGGAACAATTTTCCAGGACAGGTCGGATCTGTGCCTTATAGATCATAAGCAGCTGACTGGAAATGAAATAGCTCCTGGCCCGAAACAAAAAACCAAGTTTTTGAGATGCACTTTTAGCAATTGATCTCACGTGATTTTCCCAAAAAAGGTTATTGCTGATAGTAATACCAAGCATCGAAATGGATGTCTTCAAAGGTATGGTTACTCCTGACATGCTTATGTTGGGCACAGTGAGATCAGCTTTCCTAGAGAAAAGGCATGCTTGTGCCGTGACAAACGTATAAATTAGAAGATAGACAAAATGGGATATTTCACACTTCTTATTATACTTCTCATTATACTGTCTTTCAGAAATCATGTGGGAAAATCTTTTAATGATAATGAACAAGTCGAATTTCAAAAAAGTTTAACGAAAAAAGTTCTATTCCGGTTTCACATATCTGTCTCAAACTTGTACATGGTGTTGCAAATTTTAGTTCTGAATATTTTTTCAATTTCTACGAAATTTCTGTGATAGTGAAAAAATCAGAACTTCGACAAAAAAATTGCTCCACCATCCCCCCCAACTAAATCCTAGGTGCGCTACTGTCACTTGGATAGGCTTGAATATGCGCTGTTCAATTTTGATTATGGCATGGCTTAATTTATGTGCAGTATCTCTAGATCTAGAGTGCCGCACTATGAGCCAAAAGGCCCCATGTTTGAATTACATTTATTTGGCCTTTTATCTTTTTGATTCACAATTCTGTTTATCATAAATTCAGGGACACCTTACTCTTACCATCTGTACCGCTCTCAGTATTGGCTGGAATTACGAGTCTATTAGGACATATTCTAACGTATTCACGAATACATGCCTGCAAATGTTCATGTACTTGATATCAACCCGCCATATCGACACTATTTCAGTGAAAACAAAATATTACGAGGCTTGGGTCAAGCTTCCTCAACCCGTCATCATTGCACACTAGACTGGCTCGTGGCAGTTACAGGTGACTATTGCAGAGTTATACACCATTTGTTTTTCTAATCCTTACATAGACCATCGCATAGACCCCTGTATGTGTCGGGTAAAAATTAATTCCATTATTGTTTATAACTATCAAATTGTAACATTGCGGTTGACATTTTTTCACTTCCACAAATTTCTTCAATAATGCTGCTGATGATGGACTATTTATAGTCCGAAACATGTTCAGATGATGTTCCTGATGTGTACTAATAAATTTGTGGAGATGACTAAGAGCTAAGAGTGTGTCTTGTTTCTGAAACTTAAAAATATGGACTTCTACCATAGATTAATAATATAATAATCCTAAATCATTCTGATTATTTTGATCTCAAACGAGATCTCAAATAATGACGCCGTTGAAGTATTAAACGTCTCCGTGAATATTCTAAATTGATGTTGCAACCGAACAATGGGATCCATTTTCTGTCGGTCTCAAAAAATCTTAAATTTAATGCTATTACGACATAGTCCTTGGAATGATTGCATGATGCAGCATTTTATGGACCGTTGAAGGTTCCGCTTCTATACAAAGAACAAACTTGCTAGTTTTTATTACAATTCTCGAGGAGAAATCGGGACCAAAACAAAAATAATTATGTTTGATCGATCTTGTCCTTGTACCCATTCGTGTTTCAATTTGTTGATACCATATACCTAACCCGAGACCCAACCGGAACATTTGAATTATTTATGGATGATCATCTCGAAATACAAAACGTATTTATTCAGGAAGACTTTCAAAAGCTCCTTCTAAAACACTACCACAGATTTCTTGAATGAACAAGATTGGAAATATTAAATAACCTAATATTATTCTTTCTCTTGTACGGACCCTTTGACATATATTTTATATAATTTTCTGATGAAAATAGCTTTCCAAATGGTTCATCTTTCGGTATTCATCAGGTGGGTTTTATCTTTAGGAATTAGCTGCGATAAAAAACAAACAAACACTTCCATTTACTGCCATAGACTTCCACTGACTTCCACTGACTACCGGATACTTCCATCAGTGACTTCCGATGACTATACCAAAGACTCCCAGTGAATTGTTGAACAATCTAGTACTGAGATCTTATCTCAGCGAAAGGAAGCAACTTTCGAATGAATTAACTATGGATATTGGTGTTCCACAAGGTTGTGTCTTGGGTCCTCTTTTATTCATCCTATATATTAACGATATTATTACCAGCTTAAGTACTTTTTTCACTGCCTCTGCAGACGATTTAACTATCTTGTCTATAGTGGTGAAACCCAAAGAGAAGCCCTTGAAGTAATCAAAACTAATTTTGATACAGTGATTCACTGCTTTCATAATAATAAAACAATGTTCCAGTCAAGATGTAGTCAAAGTATACTATTTTTCGTGCATTGAATCTCATATTCGTTATGGAATCATTTTCTGGGGTAACATCAGACAGAATTTTTGTTCTACAAAAAAGGACAATAAGTTATATGTTGGGGCTATCTTATAGAGCATCATGCAAATCCACATTTGTTAGCAACAAAATTCTTACTCAGCCTTGTTTATACATTTTTGAGATACTGAAATTTGTGAAACAAAATATGTCAGACTTTGTGTATCAAAATCCAACACGATATGGGTATAATTTACAATATGATATCCATAGATTTGAATTGTACAAGTCAAATCCTTATCATATGGGCACAGTCTTATAAAACAAATTGAACAATGAAATAAAAAACATGACTAGTTTGAAAAAGTTTATGTCACCTATCGGATCGATGTTGCTAGCAAATGCCTTTTATTCCGGCGAAGGGTGCCTTTAGTACTCTTTTCAGAATCCGTGAATGATTTGTGTGATTGGTGATGAGCTCATGTAAGTATGAACATATGAGGATGGATGATTGGCCATTAGTTTAAGTGATAATAAAAAATTGTTAAAAACTTGATGATCTTCTTGGATAAATAAAGGTGTTCTATTCTATTCTAGTCATACTTCATCAAGGAGATTAACTCACATGGTGAGGTCACGAGACGCCTCTGGATCAATCGTGTCCAGTAAATATTCTCTGACATACGAATATAATTTGTTCTTCAATTGGATCTCGATGACTTCGGTGTTATTATTCGGAATTCGTGCCTCTGCATTCCTGCGAAATGTTACGAGACCAAGTATACTACACCGAATAATAATGCCAATTTCAAATTGGCTTCAGACTTGCTTATAAGGAAATGTCAAAAACATGCTCACTGGGTCAGGTTAGGTTATTCTAGAGACGATTTCCGACATATTGATTTTTGATTATGAACCAAACTATTATGCCAATATTCAAATGTCGAGGATCAATCACGTAATGGCGGAAAAATGACTTCAATCCCATATACTGGGTGGTCATACTAAAATAGGTATACCCCTGAACGTTTTGAGTATAGGTACCTAGTTCGAAATTGAATTTTGAAATGTTGACTGATTCAAATAGGTTCACATACGAGTACACATACCTCAAATTTCCATTTGTTTGTATATGCCATTTTTTGACACTCTTGTTTCCTTCCATCTTTTAGGAAATCCAAAACGTTTTCAATGATAATTTCACATCATATCATAATATACTAATCATGAGACTAATTAATTATTACCTATTAGGAGAATATTCATGATTATTAAAAGAAGCAAAAAAATGTAGAAAATTTGTTGATATTGTATATTATTATCTTTTCTGCACGGAAGTACCAAGAAATTCGTCCGTGAAGTATTTTAAGAAATTTACATGAAGTACAGAGAAACGTGAAGTACGAAAAAATCCTCGTAAGGATTTTCAAAAAGTCCACGAATCCTCAAAAACTCACAATGAATTCCGATCAATCTCGGTGAATTCTTGTGGTATACTTCCGAGAGGTATTACTTGAAGTCTGGTGTGAAAATTTTCGTCTGAGGTTCGTCTCAAAATCACCATAAAAACTGTGAAGATGAGCGTTGCTTCATTGCCTTTCGAAAGAATATAATTTGAAAAAGGCGGCGTGGGATCAGTTTGTTGGAAAAAACAAGTTGCATCATCAGGCTATTGAAACAATGCAGAAGCTTTGTTATTTTTTACAAAAAACCGTTTTATTGTTTGTAGATGTTTGTAGGAAGGCGAGTAGAAAGGTATAGAATTTTTCAAAAATGCCTTCTCATTTCCTCACAAAATATTTCTTTCCGTATCATAATAGTTTTGAGTGCCTAGGCCGCGAAATTCCTTTGTGACGTGCCGAAAAATTATCGCCGAGGCCGCTTCCGGGCAAGGCAAGATAATCTTAACAAGAGTGTCTTAACGTAATCAAAAAGTTTCGCTTCTAGGGCATACACATTAAATATTATTTTTTTCAAATCAACAGTAGTTCAGTTCATGTAACAAAGTCACTGCGTTGGTTCCTCGGTTGGTATGGAAATGACGTGTTTGATTGTATTCAAAATATTATGACAGTTCTTGACATAACGAGAATATATACAGGAATTTCAATTTCGGAAGTGACATTCGCCTGAAATAGTAGATTGTTTTATTAGGATCAAAAGTGACACTTTGTTTGACAAGCGAATTTTGCATTTGCGAGGCGGAGCGTTTAGCGAAGCAGAGCGAAAGCAAAATTTGCGAGTCGAACAAAGTCACTTTTGATCCGAATGAAACCTGCTATTTTTTCTGCAACCGAAACAATTAACTCAAATTAACATGTGAAGTAACCACCAATGCCGTGCCATGTGTATGCAATGCAACAAATATTGACGAATAATCCATGTGGTGAGAATATTCTACCTGCATTAACAGCAGGTTAGGTTTTCTAGGATGTTCGAATTGTAGCTTCAATAAAAATACAACCACAGAGTGACATATGTATTTGTGTATGGACCAGGTCCTCTAATGGCAAATACCGCGCCAGTGCCAGCTATAGGAACAAGACGTGGAAAATGTTAGGTTAGTGAGCATATCAACAATGATAATAGTGATTATTTATTCGTCTCCATACTACACTGTGTTCGACTTGATAATCAAATGAAGTTAAACAATATCGTTGTTTGAGACAAAAAAACTATTGCTTGCCGTGATTATTCAAAAACAAGTTATCCATCCCGAGAATAACGAATGAAATACAGATCAAGCAAGTATTTGAATCTTGAAGGCTTCCCTGATCAAAACAAAAATACTCAACTGAGTTGTTTATAATTCCAATACTAAACTATAATAAGGTGTATTTATATCTCCAGCATGGGTATGAAATGCCAAATCTTCTGAAATCGGAAAAAAATCAGGTATGCGTCTCAACCCAAATAACCAACCGTCACAATATTGTTTATTCTTGATGATGTCCAGTATATCCTTTTTAGTTCCTAGGAACCAAATATGTTGCCTAGCAACATACCTATTTTTGTGTCAGTAATAGAAACGTCAATTTAAGAGCTAATTTTGGTATCAAAATGGACGACTTTTGTGTCGGTTGCAGAAAAATATTTTTCTCCAAATGACATTAAAAGTGACTTTTCAATGACACTTAACAGGCAGAAAAGGTTTACTTTTACTGCCTAGACAGAAAAAGTTTGTTGCTATGCAACGTTCCAAGTATAATTTGAATCAACTTGGTGATCAAAATCGACAATGAGTTTGAGTGAACAGAAAATGATGGATTATTTGGACTTCGCTTGAAATTGAAAAGAATTTGAAGAAAAAATTATGTTTCACATGGCAGAAAAGGAGATGTAATGCCTTGGCTGGTTTCCTAGCCTCAGCTACGCCTAGGCTATGAAACGCCAGCCGCGGCATTAAGTCTTGTACTTTTCTGCCTAGTAAAATAAATAATTATATGTTTCGATGGATTGATAGTTTCGGGTTTCATTATTATTTATGTCAACCATTTTACCGGGATTGCTCCGAAATTACATTCCTATGTGGAATCATAGATTAATCTATGGTGGAATGTATCCCTTTAATGAAGCGTTTTCAAATCTCTTCATATATATTTTTTATTTTTGCAGCGGTCCGAGCGGACAGGATGCGAGGCGGCCGCAACAAATTCGGCCCCATGTACAAACGCGACAGGGCGAGAAAACTGCAAATGATGCGCCAACGCCAGCTAGCCGTCCAGACCTTGCGCGGCGTCAGCCTGGGCAGCGACATCTACCCGACGCAGCCGGGCGCCTCCCCCTTCGCCAACATCCACATCAAGCAGGAGATCCAGATCCCGCAAGTCTCCTCGCTCACCTCCTCCCCAGACTCGTCGCCCAGTCCCATCGCGGTGGCGTTGGGGCAGGTCAACGCGTCGCTCGGGCAGCAGCCGACCTCTAACCAGCCGCCCGCGCTGCAGATCGTCAGTCTGCAGGGCGGCTCGCATGCCCACAGCGCGCTCGGCCATTCCGACGGGAAGGGGTGGGGGCAGGCCAACTCGACCACCGCGTCGCCGCATTCGCTCAGTCCGAAGGTGTTCCAGTTCGAGACGGCGGTGCCGGGCGGCGGGGGCGGCGGAGGTGGTGCCCACGGCAACAAAGTGTCGCCCATGATCAGGGACTTCGTGCAGGCGGTGGACGATAGGGAGTGGCAGAACTCGTTGTATGGACTCTTGCAGAGCCAGACGTATAATCAGTGCGAAGTCGATCTGTTCGAACTTATGTGCAAAGTGTTGGACCAGAATTTGTTCTCGCAGGTGGATTGGGCGAGGAATTCCGTGTTCTTCAAGGATCTCAAGGTACAGTATTATACTACTGATGGTCATGGGTCAGTGTTGTTCCTATAGGTCTAATTTTTTCGTACCAGATTTCCTTGGGAAAAAGTAACAGATTTGAATCAAAAGGTAATAGATTGGAAAAGTCTGACATTTGACATTCTAAATGTAATTCTCGCCGAACTATCGCACGGATTAGACATTTATGACTGGAATGAGGCAAAAGTAACACAGAATTTATGACAATAATCGGATGAGTTTACATTTACTAACCACTTGGCCTCGTCCCGTTGCGTCTGCTGTTGCGACGCTGACGGTCAACGTCGTGAATCCCAAACGCAACCAGAACTAAAGCAGAACCAGGGTTGGAATAAGTCATGAGTTTTATAAAAAAGTAAAAAAAGTCTGACTTTTTGAATTAATTCGGACTTTTTTGAATTAATTCATTTGAGAACAAATCAAATTCTATTCACTTGAACAAAATACAAGAACATCGCAAAAACTAAGTTTTTATTTCCGTTGAAAATCTCGAAGCATGACAATAAACACTTGAAATATGGCATTTTTGATGTTTATGTAACTTGGATTACTCATTCACAATCTTCATTATAGAGGCGCTTTACAGTTATTTTCCATAAAATGCAGCAATATCCATGGCGCGCCTACGGATTGGTGTCACCTTGGAAAGCAATTTTTCGATGCATTGCAAGAAATGAGTCCGGACATATTTATTTATATTGTGGTAATTTGTATTACTGGTGCAATTCTAGTGGTGACATGTTAGATTTTCGGAATTTCACGCATCATTAGATACACATTGGATCTTACTTTTCTTGCCTTTCTCATGGTTTCTTTTTCCAACTCTTGACCCAACTCAAAACTCGGTGAGAAGTAATACACAGAATCTATGTCAAGAAGACATTGCAAGCCAGTAATTCCGATTCAGTGTTGAAAAGCCTACATATTATTTTTGCCGGAAATATGAATTGGAGCAATCAATTGCATGCAATGAAATATTGTAAACTGATGTAAAGCGGCTCTTAGAAAATTTTGTTTTCCGCGTGTGGTGCTTCACGGTTGTCAGTTGTCAGATGCCATGGACTATTTCATTTTGAACTAGTTTAAATTGAAGGTAATAATGCGATTTGTTTCCATTTGATGAATTTTGAATTAATTCACGACTTATTTGAAAAAAGTCATTTGAATTAATTCACGATTTAAATCACTGACTTAATTCATATGAATTAATTCGTGCCAGCCCTGAGCAGAACATGATAAAAAATAATGTTCGCTTGCCCTAGGTTCATCTGAAAAAAAAACTACAAAATTCCAAACTGCTTCGAATATTCGCTTATGTAAGTTTTTTTTTAATAGAGAATGAGTAGTCGAACGAGTGGGCCCCTAAGCTTGGGGGGCCCAACGCATTGCGTCTTATGCTAGTTTCGCCACTGTAAAAACTATTCGCGACTGATTTTTGAACGTTTGATGGAAAATTCCGAGGAAAATGCCATACCCTCGGCCATAACCGAGGCCCTACCAAAGCGAACAAACAGTGTTGGTGGGTGTATTTCGATCAGACTATTGGGGAAAGCCAAAAGTAGGGTTCTTGGTTATTCCATCACCAATCTGAAAATGTTGGAAATAATGTCTTCAAGTTACAACAATACAATACATTACAATAAGGGGAGAAGAAAATATGCGCTCACCATCCCGACAAGGGAATAATGGTATCGTGTATGACAGATGAAGCGGGAGCGGGAATCTATCTGGAAGGCCGCGGGGTACAAGAGAGTTTTGCTCTCGGGAAGTATCCAACGGTATTCCAACGGTATTCCGGTATTCCGATAGTCAGTCAGCACTTGAAGCAGTATACTCCCCCAGAATTAGATCAGCTCTAGTTTAGGAGTGCGGAGATGCCCTTGAAGAACTTGCAAGAAATAAGGACGTAACACTGATGTGGGTCCCGGGACATAGGGTGATTCAAGGCAACGAGAGGGCGGACGAACTCGCCAGGCTCGGTGCCGAGACACCATTTCATGGCCCGGAACCTGCAAGAAGCCAAAATTCATCCGAGTGGATGTGGAGAAAATTCAAAGAGAACTGGAGGGACTGTGTGGGGCCAGCAAAAGACTTGATAAAAACCCCTCACAAAGAGAACGAAGTGGCTGCTGAGCCAAGGGCTCAAACTCCTAATTGGAGTCCTGACCGGTCACTGCTAACTCAGCAGACACCTCTCGATAATGGGTATAGTAGAGAACCCAACATGCCAGAGATGTGAGGAAGAAGAAGATACATCTTTTCTCTTCCTAGGAGAATGTGTAGCGTTCAGCAGACTATGATTCAACATCTTTGGAACTGAAACGCTATAGAGAAAGGAGATGAACTCTCTCGAGTGGGCGGACACTCTATATTTCATCAGAAGGTCTAGAAGGTTCGCTAAAGTAGCCGAGTATAAGGGAGGTGAGGTGTAGGTTGCCGGGGTCGGCAAAAGGGCCCATGAGGGCTTACTTGCCTGACTTGAGCCTCTCCACCATTACTACGACTACTACTACAACAATACCAATTCTTATCATTTTGAGTAATTTTTGTATCATGTGTGTAAAAGTGAGTCGAAACAAAAGGAAGAGCCTCGTGCAGAGCATTAGTCATCCATCAAAATTATAGTGAACCGGGTACCTGTATTATCATTATTCATTATTTGTCATATTGCTGGTTCGTATAGTTTTTGCCGGAAATGTTTAAAACTTGTTTATTCCATTTTAATAGCTAGTAAGTATTTTGTTGCGAATTCAGATACTAAATGAACAGCACATGCGACTCATTTTGCAATAAAAGTCGAATGATATGACGATCGATGTTTTTTTCATATAGTTATCAGAACTGCTTTTGAATATTTTACGTTTCATTATTTTTCTGTCGGGATATTTTTTAGCAGTGGCGGCATGTGAATGTTTAGATCTCATTTACGAAAGTTACATATTATACAAGGCAGGCCTGAATATCATATTCTCATCGATAATTTTTAATGGGAACATCTGTTCTCAATAAACATGCGGAGTGATTTTCTGAATTATAGCATCACTAGAATCATCCCATAATTACTCGAAGTCCATGTGAATCAGCATGTTTTTTTTTTCTCTTGGAACGCACGAAAGGGAATCCCTATAATTTTCGAAGAACATCGTGCGTACCTAGAGAGGATAGCGAGAGGAGGTAGGTATTGGAATTTATTTTTGAACTTCTGGAGATTACAAGTGCTTGGAAATACTTCAATGGAATCAATATACAATCGACTTTGTCAATTTACTGGTATTATTTATTCGAACTGAAACCTACTGAGAAACGCCTCTGAACAACCTCTTGAAAACGGATTCACCATCAATCCATTACCTTTAAATAATGTGAAGATGCTTCTTATTGGTGAAAGACTCACTTGCCCGAGCAGGAGCAAACAAAGCTCCTAATGGCCCAGAACCCTTCTGTGGTATTGCGAAAGCTATACAAAAGACTAGTGTCAAATCATGGATGCAAACCAAATCTCAAGAATGGTGGAACAACTCGCCAGGAATGAGACATGCTAGAGAGTTTATTAAAAAACCATCGCCAACATTCACAGAATATCTACTAAGCCAGAAACGAAGTTCAACTAGAATACTAGTGGGACTTCTCACAGTGCATTGTAGGCTCAAAAAACACATGAGTACGATAGGTCTGACTGAAGAACTGCTGTGCAGGTTCTGTCAAGAAGAGGAAGAAACAGCAGTACACATACTTTGCCACTGTGAGGGCTTGTCAAGACTAATGTTCCTTACGCTGGGTGAGGAAAAACCAGGAGCCCAGAGATACACAGGAGATCTGAAAGCTATACTATGAAGTCTCATAGAAAAGGCGGGGCTAGCCGAAGAACTCTAATCGATTTTGAGGGCAGACACAATAGATCTAAAAAGGTCGCAGTGTGGAGGCAGATAGCCCGAAGGCCCCATTCCAAATCAAATCTAATCTATTGGTGAAATTAGCAACATTGTATAACAGCACAGTAGAAAAAGTTACACCACAACATTAAATTGACGGTATTCAATAAACATAATATGGATTCCCGTTTGTGCGTCCCGAAAGATTGAAATTACATTTTATCCTAGCTAATCTTGAGTCCTAAGGAATATCACGGAAATCGGAGTAGTCAGAAAAATTACATATACTGCTTACCTATAAATATAGTAATAATTTCAATTGAGATTTCAATTATAATTCATAGCAACAGTTGTGTGCGTTCACACCACCATAATTTTCTACCAATCGGATTGCAAGAAGACACTGATGACGTCACAGCTCAGTACCAGTCTATCGAAATTACATTTTCTATATTGAATAATTCACCTGTTTCTTGAAATTTTCGATAGGTTTGTGGTCAGGGCAACTTTTTCTACTTACATTTATTACAATATCCTGAAAACTGGGCAGATTTTACAATACTGGGTCGGTTCATTGCTGAGTAGTGTATATCTGTTACAATGAAATGGAATAAATTCGTGTTGCTCAACAGCAAACAGCAACCGTTCGAGTTGAATAGCCAACTGGGTCGGTCGCCAATTGTAATATTAACTATTTCCATTATTTTATTGACTCTCCCAGTAATCCAGCTCTAATCCAATGACTTTACCTGCCGTGCGATATTTTTCGATCTCCGGTAATATCCAGTTTCAAAATTGATTTATAGTGCGAAAAAATGACAGCAAAAAACTGGGGATTTTGTAATGAGCGTACATATTTATTATTGCCCGTTCTTGGCACGAATAATGAAATCTGCATGTTATTTTGTAGGTAAATCTGTCGCAACAGCTCGTGTAAAGTGGGACATCACACCGGTGGTAATACAGCTCCGTAGCTCCGATATGGCGGTGTTGTTTTCTGTGCTCTTTCATGTAAATGAAACATATATCGCGAAATATCAAAGAACAGGTATCCATTCCGAATTTAGTTGT